AGCAAAAATAATTGGTCTAGCAGAATTGCGGATAACAGGGTCGCTACTAAATTGAATTTTGTTTGAGGCTCCGATAGCAGCAGCGCCACGGATCACTCAACCCTTCCCTCATACAAATCCTTTTGCTGCCGATGTCAAGTGAGTTTTCGCATCCGTAAACAATTATCGGAACAGTACAAAAATTATCTTAGCAACATTCCCCTCGGACAAGCTCAAATGCAACCACTGCCAACCACTGCACCAACACCGCCTTCACCACATATCACAACGATTCCGATCTCAGCAGTAATGGAAAAGGTTAGTTCGTTTTCACTGAATGAGTAAATCTAATAATCATTTTCTCAGAGCTCTTCCCCCATGGAAGAGAAGTTTAGCACGTTCCCTGATGCATCTTCGGAACAACCGTCTTCACGCTCTTCAAGTAGGATACCGAAGTACGTGCTCACATCAATGGAAAAGGTGAGAAACTGAATTTTCTTAGGTGCTTTGCTTCGTAGTTGCTCCTCAGTTGCACAAATTTTCCGAGCTCTTGATAGCATGCTTCTATACTTGGTTATACTTGGTTTCTAGAGCTCATCCTAGCGCTTTAGGAGCAAACAAACGAGCCTGGGTCGAAAGTCTCTTCTGCACCTACAGTTTCTCCCCCACCTGCCAAACCCTCAAATCATACAGATCTTGTGATTGATCGTGAAAATGTTTCACCCACTTCTCTCAACTCTCCTTCTAACCCGAAACCGAAGCCTAACACTGGCATACCGAAGCCATCAAAAATTCGCCCTCCCAGCACAAGGTACAAGTCAGCCGACACTAACACTCACCAGGTATTTGCTTTGTTGCTAGGCAGGTTCAGATGTGTGCAGCCGGTTCTCATTCTTTGAGATTTATAGGACGAGACCCGGATATCTCGAATTCCGAAGTTTTCTGATGGTCCCGGTTTACGAGCTACAAACAACGGGTTAAGGTTGGTTTTAGCAAACCCTTGTTTTATATGTTCGGATTGTCGAGGCGTTTGTTATTCAGCATGCATAATGCACACTAGGCGCGCTACTATGCTCCTTGTAATATGAGACCGAGCTGCGATGGTTCGCGCATTTTCTGTAATCATTGCCAGAAATAA